TCAAATAAAACATTTAAAAATCTATAAAAAAAAATAAAAAATAAATATAAATAAAAATAATTCTGATTTAATTCTCAGTTTGTTGATAATTAACTTCTAACTATTAAATAATTTTATTTATTTAATAAATTCTATTTGTACCATGAAATAAATTCACTAACATAAAAAATATGCTACTCAATTAACTTTATAGAAGAAAAATGAATAATCTGCATGTATTGTATTCTTAGATTTGAAGACACATTTATATGTAGTATTTATTGCAAGCAAGTACACATTCTCAAATTGGTTCTTATTTGATATTTCCATTTAATTTTAATTTTTGATGGTTTATATAATTTCTTTGTTTAAAAAGACTTTGGTTTTTGAAAATTGAAGTATTTTAAATTAAATAATTTCATAGTAAAATTAATAAATATTAATAAAAAAAATCAGACAGTTTTATTTGATTGAAATATTGCAAACAAATTTATAAAATTCTAATTGAAATCAAAACTTCAAATTTAAAAACTTATATTATTGTATGTCTTTCACTAACGTTTTCAAACCAATGGTTCTTCTTCAGGTGAAAAAAAAAAACGGACAAAATAAATGACATTCAATGGAACTGATCTTTTTTGAAAGAATTCTGAAATGGAATTTCAGAGGAAACCCGTGCAATGTTTGTCATCGTTTGCACATATGCCATTGAAAGAAGTAGAAACATTTGCCTTGTCATGTGTCATATATAAGAGTTTGCCACACTATCATCGAATTTCATTTAACTTATATTATTTTTTATAAATAATAATAATCAAATGTTTTTTTAATTGTTTAATTTTGAACGACAAAAAGAAAGGACAAAATGCAAAGTTTTATCTTTGTAAAGTCAAATTTATATTTATTATATTTATAAAATAATAATCATCATTTTTTTAATAAGTTAATTTACCTTTTGGGCCTGGTAATCCTGGTATACCTGGCCTTCCTGCAATTCCTTGATAACCCCGTTCACCTTTTGATCCTGGAGGACCAGCAGGTCCAGGTATTCCTTCTCTGGTATCTCCAGGAATACCTGTAAAAAAATAATAATTTATAAAGCATTGTAAAGATTGTACTTTAAAGACAAAACATCAACATTGGTTTTCAATATATTTTATTTAAATTTTACCAGAATATTAAATTTATATAGAATTATATTTGATGTTATAATTTATTATATCATAAAACAATCTAAAACTAAGCTCATGATTAAAATTAAGTGTATTTAACTTTTCTAAAACTTTAAATTTTATTATATAATACCAATCATGTAAAAAATTAACTAAATATTGAGCTAATATTTTTTAATAAATATGTAGATTTAGATAGAACATAATTTGAAAAGTAACATAATATATTTAAATTAACACTAGATAACCTATACATTTAATATATATTACTAGATAATTTTTAATAAATAGAAAATATGTTTAAACTAAAAACATCTATCCTAAATTTATAAATTAAAAAAAATTCTTCTATGATTCTCTAAAAAACAAATGATCAAATATTATAACAGAATAAATGATTAAAACTTTGCTTTTCTTCAATAATACACCTGTGTTATAATGATACAATACCTCTTTCTCCCTTTGGCCCAGGTTCACCCTTTGCTCCAGGAAGACCATCTAATCCAGGGCTTCCATCCATTCCCTTTGGTCCCTGAATTGACACACCAGGATTTCCTTTAGGACCTGGTTCACCTTTTGGTCCAGAAACTCCGGGTAATCCTGGCTGACCTTGCAATCCATTTAATCCTGGTAGTCCAGATTCTCCTTTAGTTCCTTTAATGCCAGGAGGTCCTTCTCTTCCTGGAATACCAGGAACTCCTGGACCCCCAGGTGGACCTGGTGGACCCCTTGGTCCTATACCACCTGTTAAAATTTAAAACATTATTTAAATATCGGTTGTATAACCATCAAATATTCCTACTTTAAAGCTAAGCTTTATTCCTTAAATATTATTTATTATTATACAATGTATTTATACTTTTATTGTTAACAATAAAATTTATATATGTAGTGACTACAGCTATAAATTGATAAAAAGTAAATATATATTTTTAATTTAATGTCAAATTTATCAATACAAAACAGATTTTAATGAGTACAAATTTTTGTTTAAAATAATCAAGTAGATCATTACAGTTTTACATGAGCATATATTAATGCTATTGTTTATACAAGGATAAACAATTTGATTATGTTTGAAACTGAACAATTTAATTGAATTAAATATGATTGTCATTTTTTTTCATTACAAATAATTGAAAATATTATTAGATAATATAATATCAATTTTTATATAGTTTTTATTATCACTATATTTTTGTTTATTAATATATTAAATCATTTATGTTGTTTTGAAATTTAAATGCTTTTACTTTATTTTACTACATGCATTCAATAAATCAGAATATCTGAGATAATGCTTAAGAAAAGATGCTCAGAAAGAATTTATATTATACAAAATAGAATTTATGCTGTATCAAAGTAAATTCATAGAGAAAATTATTATTTGATGTAAAAGTAAGTAAAATTTATCACATTATATTTCATTCAGCATTTATGGAGAAAATTATAGATAACTACTTTTATTTTGATGGCATTATTATTTGGATTAACTAAGAATAATGTCATAAAAATTTAATGCCAAAGACAATGTCTGGATACAGTTTATTATATAAATGTGTACTAGGACATATCATATTATTAGGACTTATTGTACTGGTGTTCTGTTTCTGCAAATTGAGGAAAACTTATTCAGAAAAAACAATCTATATTGTTCACCTGGTATTTCACCTGTTTTCTGAATAAGTTTTCCTCAATTTGCAGAAACAGAAAACCAATACAATAAGTCCTAATAATACGATATGTCATTAGTAGACAATTATATAATAAATTGTATAAAATAAGGGAACAAAGGCATATGAATTAACAATATCTGGATAATTGGATAAAAAATTGAAAATTCCACCAAAAATGGACAATATCTATTAGCTTTTATAAGGATGAAAAAATACAAGTCTTTAGACATCATTTTTTCTAAAACAAAACAACAGTATTACATAAACTAATAAAAATATAAATGGTTAAGTAAATACAAATTAATACACTAAACATCTTTAAAAATCCATTACAAACAATAATAATAAAATCTAACAAAATTGTTTGTGCTGGATTTTTAAAGGTAAACAGCTTAAGTGTATTAATTTGTATCATTTAATCTAGTTTCCAGAATAATTATGTAAGTAAATATAAATCTACCAAAAATTTTACTGATATTTATAATTCCATTGCTAGGAAATCTTACATGGTTCATTAAATTTTTAGTACCTTTCTCTTAATTTATTATTATAAACCATTATAATTGCCTAAAGTGATAGATAGCAAAAAGCAAAGAATTATGAAGCATAAGAAGATAGAAGCAAAAGCAAGATTTGTTAGTCTTGGTTTTTGCTTCTATCTTCCATCATCTTAATTTTAAGATAGGTTAAGACATTGTGAGTTTCATCATTATACATTTGTTGTGGTTAATACAATTTGTAATGGGAATCACAAAAGATAACTGTTGTTTTACATTTATATGTACCATTACCTTGTTGGTTTCCCATGCAACCCAAATTAAAAATATATATTGCAGTAGCATAATTCTGTTTAATGTATCCTACAAAGCAAATGCCTCTCAAACTGGACAAACAAAAATACACTTTTACAATATCTCAATCCAACCCAGCTGTAGCTGATTCACTATAAAACTAACGTTTTCAGACAATGAACCTTATTATGCATGCTTGATCAATTTTGCTATAGTGAAATTGGATTAAGCATAAATGATAAATTCCATTGTTTACAGAACAGCTAAGAGAATTAGGAGCCCTCAAGATCTTTTAAGTGGACAAGAAAAGTCACCTGAATCAGTTTTAAAGAAGAAAAATGCATAGCTCATACCTAGCAAGCACATTATGATTTAAATTTATTTATGATTAATTACATCATCTGTCTATCAGAATTGCATTGGTATGTTTAAACTTAAATTAGTCCTAGTTCTTTGGACTGTTCCTTGTTCGAATCAGATAATGCCTGACAAAGATCTTAGGTGCAGATCAAAAACTTTAGTTTTCTAGTGAATTAACTACAGCTGGACTGGATCAAAATATTGTAGAAGTATATCCTACAAAAGTATATATCTGGAGTCACTTGGGTTAGCAGACAATAATCATCAATTATCTCAATTCATGAAACAGCATAAATCTTCCTAATTTAATTTTTTAAATATAAATAATAATAATCAATTTAAAATTTATGATATATGTTATGAAATATGTTTATTTAAATGAAAATGCTTTACTACAGCTCTAAATATGAAAAACAAAATAAACATATAATGAAAAACTGCATTAATATATTATTTTTTACATTATGAAATGTATATAGTTTTTATAAATATAACAGTATATTTTACCTGGAAGTCCATTTGCACCAGGATATCCAGGAGGTCCAGGTAAGCCTTTAGGACCAGGTATACCAGGAGGACCAGCTCTACCTTCAGAACCCTGTATTGTAATTTATATATATAAATTATATATATATATATTTTCTGGAATATATATGGAATTATAT